CTAGCATTTTAAAATTGAACACACTGTTTTGTACAACTGATTTGAATATCAATGAATTTTAATTTAATTATTTTACATAGTCCCTAGGAATGTGCAGAATTTTGAATACTACCTTAGATGTAGTATTTAAAATTCTACATGCACCAAAAAGATTCAGTGTTTCAATAACACATGTTTATACAAGTGTTAATTTTTTAATCAATTTTTCCAGATGTTGGCAATAAGTCAAAGAATGAGTCTTTGTTGAATATAAGCAGCAAAGAGAAGAAGAATAAACGCAAATCATCTCAGGCGGAAGATACATCAGCAATGAGTAAGTTATTTAACAGTGGTACTACAATATTCTCTATTTCTACAATGCTAACAATTCAATACTGTTGTAAAATCCTTTTATTTGTCTCGCTTTGGAGCTATTTTGTGGTACGATTTTTAATAACCCAAGAGATAAGATTCGAGAAAATACATAATCACATTCACATTTTGGTCCTGGGTCATGTGGGGCATAGCCACAAGTAACAACTAGTTTAAACATTAATTCGTTAATATTTCTTTCTAGGTTCTCCAGAAGAAGAGACTCTAGGCTTCTTTATAGACACAACTGGCACTCATGCTGATGAGACTAAGAATGACGCCAACATTTCAATCAAGAACAGTGCAAAGAAGAATAAACAAAAGAATAATGTTTCCTTCGCCGACATTGCAGATGCTTTAGTTGATGGTATGTATGCTTACACAATATTCATTACAGCTAAAATAGTCTCGGTTTTCCGTAGTCCTACTCTATTCAATCAGTTATTTTGAACTGTAATTGACATAATCTGAGATAGACTTTTTTCATACAGAGGAACAATGTTAATGTGTCTTATCGATTTATAATTATCTCACTTTTCTCGATACCAAAATATTGTCTAATTTTTCAGAGGATTCTAATGATGCGCCATTGGAAGTTTCATATCGCAGTGAGAAAAACAAATCCAGGCAAGACTTAAACGTAACTCAAAACAATGAAGCAGATAATGAAGCAGTTGAAGCCCATAGCAGTGGCAAAAAGAAGAATAAGAAGAACAAGAAAGGATTGAACAGTTCTCAAAATTTGTTGGATATCAGTATTGTTGAAAATGCAGGTATGTTTATTTATACTACTAGTACATTTATGTTATTTTTAACCGTCAACCAAACATCTCTGTCCATCCAAACGACATCCGATGGTAAGCTCTCAGCGCCATCCTTGGACATTTTTATATGCCTATCTTATCTTTTGTTCATAATTTTTTTATTATTTCAGAGAAAGTAACAGAAAAGCCTGCTAACATTTCTATTACCAGTATGGATGGTAGTGCTAAAAAGAAGAAGAAGAAATTATCGGAATCCCTAATAGATCAGGAAATAGGTATCTATATTTCAATTAGTTTTTTTTACTGTATCTAAATCAATTTCCAAATGCCTAACATAACACCAAATATTAGCTGAAAGAATGATACTCAAAATATTCCATAGTCGCATATTAACTTGTATATGGCAATGGCCATAGTTAGCATATATTTTACACATGTGATCTAAGTACTAAAAAACGATATTTTTATTTTGCAGAAATTAAAGTCCCAGAAGAAACAGAGCAAAATATTTCTTTGGACAGTGGCATGAATAAGAAACAAAATTCTATTCCACAAGTGACTGAAGCTGAACAAAGTAATGACAATGACAATGAAGGTATGGGCAATAGAACATAATTATTTCACAAAGACTGAAATGTATTACTCATTTCATATAAAAAAACAATAATTATATTCATCAATTATTTTAACAGTAACTTAACCCCTCGAGCGTCCTTATGAGCACCCGGTGGATCATAAGAAAAAATGCTCCATGCTGCTTTCTTTTTTATAAAATCTATTATTAATGTTTTGTTTTTATTTTGACTGTATTTGTTTTATTTCTATTGTAATGATCCTTGTTTTCGTGTGCCAATGGCCAAATAAATGCATTTTCTTTCTTTCTTTCTCCAAATTTCAAATGTCATTCAAATGTCACGTGTGCACCCGTTAGATCATAAGGAACGCGGACGCTCGACGGTTTAAAATAAATCAGGCCAAAGTAATTTAATTCATAATTTATGATATGCTATGAGTAGATTCCTACACTAATTATTATTTTTCCAGATAATGTAGATGAAAATGGTCAGGAGCAGATTACAAAGAAACGTAAACGTAAATCTTCACACAATCAAACTATTGAAGAAATAGTTATCAAAGGTTAGTAAATTGCTTTATAAAATATCACCACGTTTTTATTCCCTGGGGTAGATGGACCTGCACGTAATCAATGTAACAACTATTTTTGCAAGATGATCCTATTAATGAGAATTTTCTAAAAGCGGAGTACCTACCAAGAAATAAATCATATTCACAATCGCACTTGCTAGTCGCACTCGACTCACGAGACTGTTAGTTTTTCGTATATCACGCCAGATCTCTGCTCATGAAGAACGCAGGTTCATGTACAAATTGGATTTTAATATTTTTATTATTTTCAGATGATGTAAAAGTTAATCTAGACGAATCAGTGACAAAAAAGAATCAAAAGAAGAAACGAAAAATTTCTAATAATGATGAAGACAACCAACCACCTGGTAAGATTTGATTGCAAATATTTCTAAACTTTTTTTGTTGCTATCGAAATTAACAGAATAAAATTTAGCTTTAGTCATACAGAAAGGCAATATGCTTAGTTATGATACTTTTTATACACTACTCTGTTCATTTTGTAACTTCTTAATGTGTAGGTAGTGTATTTAAGACATTAATGTGATGTAATAACAATATGGCGCGCAATAAAGATATTGAAAAAATGAGTGTGAAGCTAAAAGATTACAAATTTTAAACTCTTATTAATTTTAGGTCCTGTTATTGAAACACAAATGACCGATGACAATACTAAAACTATAAGGAAAGTGGTACAACAACAAGAAGTGGACATAAGTGATGGTATGAACCATTTTGCTTGATATTTCTCTTATACATACTTATTTTTCTGATTCTTTCATTCACTTATAAGTATATGGAATATTTACATTAACAATTTATTTTCAGATGGCACCAAGAAAAACAAGAAACGAAAAGAAAGGGATGACGATGATTCTACTAAACAATCAAAGGTTATTTTACTTTATTACTATATTTAATTAACATTCTGTGCATTTTTATAATAACTTTCATGAGACATACTAAATTAACTAAAAATCGTGGGTTACTCGTAAGCAATCCGCGATTTTTAGTTAACATTCTGTATAATTTATTCAAACATTATTGTTTTTAATATTTCTTTTTTTGCCAGGTTCTTAAACAAAATTCATTTGACAAAATTCACATTCCACGACTGTCTGCTGATGTATTGAAACACCTTGACGAAAAACTTGCAAAGGATTCTAAAACGAAGAAACCAAATGTGACATCTACATCTTCATTTGTTGTGGAAGAAACAAAGAAGAGAAGAAATAAACCATCAAATTATCTAGAAGAAAGTATATATTTGAATGATAATGGCAATGGCAAAAACATTAAACCTTCCATCAAAAAACCAAAAGTTTTGCCATTCATACCAACTGCCTCAACATCAGACAGTGGTTTTACAACTAATTTCAAAGTTAGTTTAATTTCTCGTGAAACACAATTTGTTGCTCAGTCTACCGGCCTACCCAACTTTAAAAATGATTACCTCAATAAGAAAAGAATAAAGAAACTCGGTACATTTGAGCTGTATAAAAGACAAAGAAATATAAAAATATCGAAATTTTAACATTCTGCAATCTGCAATGGAGGTGTGTCAAAGTATGTTGCCATTATACCGCCTTTCCCAGTGTAATTTAGTACTTAGTTCCTGATGTAATGGTCTACTCATTATTGTTTGGCTGTAATGTCTCTTATTGTTAGATCTTTATGAACTTGTTAATATTGCATTGTTATAAATTGAAAACTGCCAAAAGTTGTTAATTTGTTGTGGACTGCTTTCTTTTTTATGATATTACTAGGTACATAGAATATAGAAAATATTGTGTAAGTCCTTTTCCATAATCGTTTGTATTTTTTACTTGTATTGTTGATTGAAAATTGTATGTAATTGTTTAATTAGCATGGTTGACCTTTTGCTTGTTTTTGACAATACTTTACTTATGTTATTTATAATTTTACTTGTATTAGTTAAGTATTTTAGATGCCTGGGTCAGAACTTTGTGAAAACGGCTACTAAAATGTGAGCATTTATTTAGTTGATATTTTTATGTACGATGCTTTGTTTTAAATCAGAGTTCGAAAGTATCAACAAATAAAACAAAATTACGTTTTTCTAGTTCTTAACATAAACTACGAATGATTGAATGATTTTGAATTTTATTATTTTTAAAGTTACCGCCAAGGTTTTGTAGGAGCCACTAGAGGGCGCTGGCGTCGGACTAAAGTGGTATCGCCCATGTGCCTTCGGTTTCCATTTATATTTACTTAGTTTTGGACATTTAATTATTTACTTCAATAAAAATATTCTTTCAAATGAAATCATTATTTTAACATAAACTTTTACCAGTAAAAAGTTACATACACGGCAGAAGTACTTCCCGCCTTATCATGCCGGTGTAAACAAACCGCCATGTTGTTGTGAATGGGCGACCCATGTAACCGGTAAGTGAATTGGTAAGTTTCTCAAAAACAAGTTTCATGACTAAACCTAGTTGTGTTAAATAAAAATACAAATTATAATGTGCATAAAATTTGTTATTAATATATTTAGGCAACTACAAAACTATTAGTATTCCTATTGAGCAGTGACGTCAATTCACTTTGACGCAACAACCAATAGAAGTCGTTTGCGATTAGTCACGTGGGCTTAGCTGTCCAATAGGAAAGAAGACCATTCTTTGTGTACCTTTTCACAGAATAGTAAAACAGATTGTGGTTTTTGTAAGGAGTGAGTGGTGTATATCTGTCAATCTAATGACTTTAAAAGCGTAAATGTGTGAAATTCAGGATTATTCTATCGAACTAAAGGATATTTATAACAGTAAATATTCGGTAAGTGCTTTTGGTATTCTAATTTTAGGATATAATACAGTTTAATACGAAAAACAAGGATTTGCAGTGGGAAAGTCCAACGAGTTAACATGTCCCGCTCTTTTTCATGTCATTTATCAATATTTTTGTCATCATTGTAACGAAATATGCTGACATTATAGTATTAAAATATAATTTCCCAGATCTATTTCCAATTCTATCAGTTTTGTGTTAGGTTCGTAGGCACTTTATCAAAGTGGCGGGAAATCGTGCTACCTCTTTCACACATGGACGAAGTAATAATCTCGTACCAAATACCTACTTAATTGATTAGGTAATAATGTCTGTGAAATGATCGATTAAATAATCACAATTTAATAACTTGGAAAAAAATCTAAGAGTCTACAAAACTATTTACAATTCTACAGTACAAAAACATTTTTTTTCGGAACTAACAATAACGGACGTTCATTATTTTATGTTCTGTCTCTTTCACTCACCATTCTACAATGTCTTGTTGATAACGACTACGTTAAAAATTATTATTTTGTTCGTTTTGTATTTGTGTTTTTAAAAATATGTTTTTGATTAGATAGCTAATGTTTATAACGGAGGTGTGATAACATTTTCCAATTGGCTGTTAAAAAAGGCGGCAATTGGTTGTCAATGAACTACACAACATACAGACGTGAGACGGTTGTAAAATTGTAGTCTAATAGGTATAATATTCGTAACGTTAACGTAATTCTATGTAGGTATCCGTATTCCTGTTCTATTTACAGTACGAAGGTACTTTGTACATATATGACTGCCTAGTTTGTTTTACACCTACAAGACGGATTTGGTACCTAAATAGGAACTCTTACATTATCATTATTAGGTATTTGTACGGTTTATTTTGTAATAATTAAATTCTAATTGTATAAAATACCTAATTAATTGCCTAGATAGTTAAATCATGTCATTGTAAATTAAGTAATTGAGCACGTAATCGTCGTTTAAACTGTCAAACACCAAGCGGTCACCGGTGACCGCGACCTATTGTTCTTTAATTGTGTCTATAAAACCGGTACTCGACGAGTTAATTCCCTATGTAAATATTTAGGACTAGGACTAGTCGTAACTACTATTCTCATATTAAATATTTTTTTAAATGTTCGTTCGTTACAAAACTTCCGATGGGTAGTTCTGTTAGTAATAATAATATACCCACCTAAATAATGCTAAATAATAATTAATCTTAATTCTAAATCGTAAAGAAAAAAATGTTATTTATGAACCAGGTAGGTAATAATAATGTCTGCATATCAATAAATCGTCTTTTAATTTTTTTTGTTATTGTATAATGGTAATAGGTATAACGTAAAGAAATCCACGAAGCAATTTGTTCCCACGGCCGGTTTTGAGCGAGCGAGAATTTCAAAACGTTGAACAATGAGTGCAACGTGCTCTTGTAGTTGTGAATGCACGTATCGGTGTGGTATTGCATCTTGCACGTGTGTGTGTGCCCGCTGTAGTGCACTCGGCGAGACGGGCGAGGCGGAGCGTTTTACTGCAACCTATCAATGCACAGAGTTTATCAATGTATTTCTACGTAGATATAAACAAGATGCAACTATTGACAGTAAATATTTTTAACGTTATCAATAAACTTTCCTTCGGAAATATTCTGATAACAGTAAGACGTAACATTAGTCGGTTTCCCATTACATAAATAATATAAATTATGTAGATATAATAAATAATAATAGTATCTGATGAATGATATTTACAAAATATACCTACCTACCTCCTTAGCTTTATATATCCTATTCATTCTAGTAGACACGTATACTTACCAAAAAAAATACATTAGTCATAGACTATGGTAAATATGTACAAAAAGTACCTACCTACCTGTCTTATCTTTATTTTGTAGGTACATATTTTCTTACCTGGTGCACGCTGTTCGAAAAATTAACTGCACGCTGGTAAAACATAAAAATATTGTTCAATCACTTCCTTTACTTAATTCGTATCTTAAGGGATTAGTACCTAACTAATGGGTTATTATAATATGAGTGACCTATTTTGTACAAACGGAAAGACAATAGTTATCATACGGTCTACTATCCGTATCGATACCATGTCGTTAAGTGTGTACACGGTTACTTTCTATTTCCCTGAATACCTATGGACCGCTAACCTTCAATCTATCTTGGTTTTATTGCCGAGTCAACATGCCTTTGCCTCGTACAAGTTACTATTAGTATTTGTATCACTAATAGGTATAGGTATCTAGTCAGAAATTATAGGCAGGGATTTTCGTTACTTTTGATTAAGATAGCTCATTAATTCTGCTAAGGTAACTTGTCCATCCTACCTAACACGAAGTCTTTTTACCTACCTACTAGGAAAGAAATATTCAAATCAGCTGTAAACATACGTCAAACACAAAAACTTACTGTTTGGAAAACTGGGTAGGTATATACGTAATACCTACCTAGATTCCTATTCATAGATAGTTGAGTCAGTAATTTACACCGAGGCCGTTGACCTTTGTGCCATCTGTCTGTTCCGAGTGCCGCACAATGTTGTGCAAAATTTAATAATATGTATGTAGGCAAGTTAATACTTTCAAAATGATGAAAGATCTTTCATGAACGCCACTACCAGTCTATCCACCTTATGTGGTAATTTTTTTATAAAATAAGACCAATTTTAAACATTCTTGACTGCATCTAAATATTTTGCTGTCTCATTTTCCGGTCTAGACGTACTATTATACCTACATAAACACCTTCATACCCAAATATAAAGTTGAGCAGAAATATTTCAGTTTCCCTCCCCAATTTGAACAGGCAACTTCGAGAAACCCGACGTGAGGGGACGAACTCGCGCAGCAATCAATACTGAACCCCACCCAAAAGCTTTAGTATCGAGGCTGCGCGCGCAATATTAATTCATTGCGCATTTTTCGCGCCAAATATATTTCTAAAGACTTTATATAGGTAGATAATGAAATCCTTTGTAGTTCGTAATCTTTCTTTAGTAAGTTACTAGTTCAAAAGCAAATGATTCGAACAATTTTTTAATATTTTATATAATATTAAATGCATATAAAAATCATCCAATACTTGACATCAACATAACAATTTTCCGAGACGTTGAGTTTCCGTGACTCGTGTATAAGCGCCGACCATCGGCCGGCGCAAGAGCCGACCACGATGAGTTCAAGGCGAGCGCGCGCGGTCAGGTTCGAGGACACGACGGGCGGCGGCGGCGGCGGTGGCAGCGCGGGCCCCTCGCGGCGCCTCCACATCTCCCCACCATAATACTTACCATGTACTCTTCTGAAACTTGTAATGGGCTAAAGGATTATCTGCGCGAAAACTAAAATGTTTCTGAATCTGAATGTAGATAATATCTATATCTAAAACCTATGTATTCATTTTATTTATTAGGTTCTTGAACTTCCATAACATTCAATAACAGGTAAAAAATTACAAATCATGTTGTATGCAAGAAGTTTGCGGTATGCAAGAAGTCCCTACTGTCCCTAGGTACCTATTTATTTTTATTAAAAAGGCTATGTTATGTACAAAGCAGACAGAATAGATAGGTAATAAGTAGTAGTACCTATATGTGTTTGTTTTTCAAGTAATATCCATACATCACATCGTCGTGAGTAAGATGAACTCTTCGAATATTAATTTTTGAGTTCATGGTCCATAATATCACGACATCAATGTTACGAATGAATTCATACACACTGGGTGGTAGGAACCTATACGAACTCAGTATTTTTTCTAAATATTATCAAACTGTAGACAGGTAGTCGGTACTGTTTATCTACTGGCTATACTCAAAACACGCTCGCGTAAAGTTCGAAAGGGAGCGGCGGCGCTGCCATGTATTTGGGGTTGATTCACCCCTCTTTCGATCCTGTATGGCTATCTCTTTTTCTCACCCTATTTATACCCTTCTCTTTTCTGCTTGGGGAGTTAGGTGTGTGTCCAATTTTCGATCCCGTTATCCTGTTTCGGCGGGAAAAGTTGGTACCTATACATAGAAAGATAGACGTCAATCGAAAGTTCTAAATTATTTTTTCATTCTGGTATTGATTAACTCATATGTCAATGTGATATACATATAAAATGTTTATACATTATGTAAGAAAACGTGTACCTAATATTTTACACATTCATTGCTACATAGGTATTAAGGCACCTAAAAGAAAATCAAATAATTAAAAATATATTCGGTTAATGGTTATTCAATAATTAAATCATAATTATTTTGGTACCTAATGATAATAAACCGAATATGATATACATACCTACCTAATCTTTACTTTGTTGATGGATGACACGTTTATCAGTCATTGCACTCGTTCATGGTTTCAGCGAGTAGGTATTTGTTGAATTAGCACTACACGACGTTTTTATACAGTGCTTTTTACAAAATTCAGATTAGAGAACTATAAACGTAAAGGATAATATAATACGCTCTCACATCTCTATTAATTTTAGTTAGGTACGTCTACCTACATAATTATCAATTACTAAAGCTCAATGAAAAATCACTTCATACCTACGACTACATTTTAGAGCAAGCCGTACAACTAGTTTCTCAAGGACTTGTGTTAGTAAACTACTTAAGTACCTAGTTATAATTGTAGCAACCACTACATTCACTACGAGTATAATGCCAGTATTTAATTATAATAAAATAAATAATTCAATTGTTTATAAAAAATCTCAATGATAAAAAGTACCTACGTAATTACGTATCAATATACGGATTCCATTCATACTTAATCAAAAGAAGGTGAAAGTTCTAGGTAACTAATACACACAACATGTAAATATACAATTTAATGGATCACGGACATAACAGCGTACCAGAACAAGTTATTTATAGAGGCGAGTAAAAGCTTGGACAAAAAACTTCGTCCCGAACCGAATGTTGGAAGCCTTCCGAGTAGTTCCGTTCGTTAGTTTTTATATACGTTACTTTGTAAGCGACCCAATCCGGACTGCTCGAACCCTCGTCCAACAGATCGTGGGTTACCGTAGGTCTTCATAAAAAAAGATGGGAACATGAAACGTTTTTAACTAACTTGATAGCACATCGATTTAAAAGGATTAAAGTCACAAATATGAACAGGTAAATGATGACTGAAATAATAAACTGAATTTTAATGTCCCAAATGATAATCAAAAAATCCTTTCAATAATGTAAACAAGGTAGTTCTGTGGTGCCCACTTTGTCGATGTTAGGGTAGCGCATACCTTAAGACAAAACAGGTTTCTGTACTACTACGTAGTGGTTTCATTGTGCCGTCTCTCCAGTTCCCCCGTCTCAACTCAGTAGTTTCAAGCAGTATTCTTGAAAGGAATTTGCGCGAAATTTAATATTATACTTTCGAAAATATGTACTTCCCTCATAGGTTAACTTGCTATATTAAACTTATTACAATAACGAATTTATTCTTTGTTTCAGTGGTTCTCAGACATGGATTTATACATCACGGATTCACTCCAGGACATGCTGGACATGGATATAAAAAATGAAATCGCCACGGATCTTAGCAGTATGACGGACTTTGCGGTTAGTTGATTTTGTATTACATAATTATCCATTTTAGTTATAATATTCTCATGATAATTAATTTCTAACCATCTTTTTCCTTTCTCAGGATACCTTAGGATCACATTTTTCCGAGTTACCACCTTTATTAGACATGGACACCGATAATTCTGCAAGTTGGCTTAATAATAGTTCTAGTTTTGTTCATAATTTAGATTTATATGGTTCTGAAGCAAATGCAGTTATGGTTAATCCTAATTCTGTTATGCCATCAACATTTGTTGAAACTCCAGTTAAAAATATAGTAAAAGAGGAAGCTTCAAATTTATTACTGACATCGGCCGCCGCAAATGATGACTTAAGTAATAATAGCATATCACTTCCCAGTCCCAAAGAAGAAAAAAGTCACCTAACGTTTTCGCCCAATGCGATAAAAGTATCAAAAGTACAGGAACCAGAAAAACCAAAAGTCAAGGAGAATTCTGAATTAGAAGAAGCCACGCAAATGGTCATTTATGTAAGAAAACAAGAAAAAAATGTTGTAAAAGATTTGATCAAAGATTTGGACAAATCGAAAGTATCAAGTATAACGACACCTACAACAGTTCGAATAAAAAGTCAGTCAGAAATAATTAAAGTTAACAATAAAAGTTGTTCAATTTTAAATACGAACCAAAAAGTTGCACATTCTTTAGGAACTAAAACAATTATATCTGGCAATATACACATCTTGGATCCACAACAAATAAATACTAGAACAATTTTAGGTAATGGTAACAAAAATCAAGCAACAATATTAATTGACAACTCGTTAAATAACAATAGACAAATAATTAAAACTTCTGTAAATGGTGGTTTCACGTTAGATACTAGCCATACGAAGTACGTTAACGCTTCTAACAAAACTAGTGCTGGTGAATTCCCTAAACCGGCGTACTCATATTCATGTTTAATAGCAATGGCGCTAAAAAATTCAAGAACAGGTAGTCTACCTGTTTCAGAGATTTATAATTTCATGTGGTAAGTTTAATACTATTAGAAATAATAATAATTGAGTTTTATGCATAATAGTCTAATAATATTATTGTTATTTTCAGTCAACATTTCCCTTATTTTAAGACGGCACCAAACGGGTGGAAAAATTCAGTTAGACATAATCTTAGTTTGAACAAATGTTTTGAGAAGATTGAGAAGCCCTCAACAAATGGAAGTCAAAGAAAAGGTAAATTTATATCTTTCTTACCCTTTTAGTAGTGTCTTATTAATTTGAGTTCAATGTGTCAGTGACATGGTGGTTATCAGATACATTAATGCAAAGACTAGATGTATTGTTTTAATGTGAATTAATTATATATTTTCGAAATATCTCAGTCATAGCACAAAGCCTGTGATAGTGGCTGGTGTATAGTAATAGGTGCTACTCAACGATACTCCTTCAGGGTATAAATTGGGAGCCGCATGTAGACGGGCTTTTACTTAACTTAATATTAATTTTTATTTAATTGTGTTTCCAGGTTGTCTGTGGGCCATGAATCCCTCAAAAGTAGGAAAAATGGACGAAGAAGTACAAAAATGGTCACGAAAGGATCCGCAAGCAATAAAAAAGGCAATGGTTTATCCAGGTATGTTTCACACATCTGATTAATAATACTGATATAGGTCATCGTATTCGTCGTTTCATGGGATAGGGTGCAAACAAGTTGACGGATGGATGGTAAGCAATTGCCACTGCCCGCTCGTGACAAATTACAACACCAAAATCACGGCATTACTGCTTCTATCTTAGAATGACAATTTAGATTTTATTTAGATTCAGCCTAATAATTATTACTTTTAGTAAAATCGATGTTGTCCTTTTCCAGAAAACTTAGAGGCTCTAGAAAGGGGTGAAATGAAGTATAGTGGAGTAAGCGCTGACAATGACGCTGATGATGATGCAGATGTTGATCCTGACACAGAATTGGACGCGGATGTTGAAATAGATCCTGAAGTCAAAGAAGAAGTAGAAGAGGAGGAGGCTATTATAGAACAAGTGAGCTATTTATATTATTTACTAGCTACTGGCTGCCATTGTTATAGCATGATGTTAAACTATAGTATTAAACTATAAGCTTATAGTTTCTCCTCGATATCGATCAACTATCCAACAAATTCCAATATTTGCGTCCATATATCCCCCTAGATATCTTTTTTTATTGTGTTAACACTGATAATACTATGATTAAATGCACCTGTCTCATGCTTTTTTTTATTTCTCGGAGTGCCAGCCTATCAAGGCCCAAAATAAATAGGTATTCTGTTTATGATAAAGAATTTTTCTTTTTGCGGATAAACACCTCACTCACAATTTTTAGAAACAGGTGTCTTAATCTCAATCGTCTTTATTTTCTCAGTTTTGGGAGCTCGTTTGTATTTGCTCTGATAAAACTGGATCTTGTAACCTAATTATCTTGTTCTTTTGACATTTGAATTGTTTTGCGTAGGAGGTGTCCGACCAGGAGTTAGAAGTTGAAGAAGTAGTAGAAGGCACAGGCATGGTCGGTGGTACGTACCGATTACTAGCGACGGGACCTTCATCACTTACCTCATATATTACTGACGTGGAATCTGGCGAAGAAGTTAGCGACATCGAAGTAAGTAATTTTAAAATTTCACATATTTTTTGTACATACATTATATCTTCAGTAAATATAATATATACTAATTTGTGATTGGTTTCCAGATCCTAGATCAATCATATGAAGAAATCGACATTGATGTCACAAAACCTGTAAAATTGGACTTATCTATGACGGAAAATTATACGAGTAAGTGAATGATTATTGACAGTATTTAAGTGTGAGTGATTTTGTTTAGTATTTTACACATTATATACAAAACAAACATAATAATATTCAAGTATATACCTACATTTAATATTGCATTCAGATTCACTTTCTTCACTCTACACATCTACTGACTGTTATAAGAAATTAATTCAATATGCAATGCAATTATTAATTTATTGTTTTGTGTCTTCCAGTACATCCAACAAAGCGAGCCAAAACAAGTTTCATCTATCAACCTGTAACAACTCAGACACACACTAGTAGAAGAAAAACGCCACTGGTTAATCGAGTTGCATTAATGTAAGCGAAATTCCTAAACAACTTAAAAGACTTGTATTCATAGAAAATTGTGATCATAACGTTATGGGGTCAACGATAGTACATAGCGTAGTCTCTCCAGTGATTGTTCCATTATTAGGTAAATTTTAGATTACATTAAATAATTCGAATTAATAACTAGCTGTGAATGTGTCTCAGAGTTCTGAATGTATGGCAATTGTATCAAATTCGATCGTGATAGTCGGTACCAGATAAGTGTATTTACATGTTTTTACAAAAACTAAACACTTGTTACATATCTTACACTGTAAAATAATGTTATTTGTTAAGTTAACAATCCGAAAAAGATGCGCCTCGATGATGATGTGATTATTTTTATAAATGTCACTAACAAACAGCGCAGATTATGTATTTTGATTTAATTTGAAGGAGTGACAAGGAATATTGCCCAATAGCGTTCAGAAATTGGTGTTGGAAGAAATGTTACGCACGTTACTTAAGGCTAAAGTACAAAGTTTTCATAGGAACGAATTGACCACTTTTATTTTTATTTTCCATCCATTAAATGTATATTGTTTTTTTTTTTCATTGTCAATTCGTTTTTATGGACCTTAGTACTTACAGAAAACTGCTTGGAATAAGAAAGAACACATAAAATGATGTCTCAATCTAGCAGCAAACGCTATAGCGGGTATGTAAAGTTCCCACCGCTGATGTATGTAAATATTGTCTTTATTTATGTATTTTATTTACATATGATTTGTTGTTAGTGGCAGCTTTAGTTTTCTCAGAAATATTAATACCTTTTACTTAAAGCTGCCGCATGTTTGTTGTGTTAAGCTACCCTTAGACATAATTGCGAGAAATTTTTAGACTATTTTGGATTAAAGTAATGACATCGTAACACAGACTAGATTTCAAATGGGTTTTGTTGATGTCATGCAAGGCCAAATGTCGGATATGTAAAGATTAAAAATCTTTTGCTATTATGTCTATACATATAATTTGATTAATTTGTTAGCTTCAACAACATTATGCTCTACAACTTTATTTTTTACTTTACATTGTACCTGTTATAATTAACCCTGTAACTACATACATTAACTTTAATTTTGTACTGTAGAAAGTTACTTTCATTTTTATTGTGTTGCTATTTTACCCGTAAGATGTGCAATTTCAGTGGATAATACATGTTGTGTTGATGTAGGTGGAATAATCATCGACACAAATGTTATAAAAAATCGTAGCGGAAAAATTATGAGACTATAACATTTGATAATGCATTTGTTCTGTTGTCTTTACATCAGTTTAGCAGATTATTTGAATCAAATAAATTGCTTGTGACGAGACATTACAAATACATTGCTTAGTATTCATTAAATAGGGAAATGAGATAGTGTTGAGTTGGAATAGACTTGGTCTTTGTAGTATTGGTTGTGTTAGTGGATCTCTCGAATGTAGTAAATGAATTGTGAGTTTAGAATAAGTATGCATTAGTTATAAGTTTGGAACAATTCGTTTGAGCACAGATCAGAAATCTTATTCAATGAATTCCAAATATGAATTAGATAAATATTCATTGTTTAGTTTTTGCCTATCGTTATTACAATAATGTAACTCAATTAATCATTAATATCTATTTCGTTTTTAGCCATCTTGAATTTGAAAACAAAACCAGGTGGCTCATTTGACCAAAACTTATAACAAGACAGGTCTTGCCATGGCTAAATAGAAGCAGATATTTTACAAACAACGTAATTATGAGTTATACTCAAAGATAAGCGTATTTATTATATTATAAAAATGATGAGTACCTAATGTTTAAAACTATATTCCATTATAGCCCAATTTATGTATACCTTTTAGATTAGATGATACTGTGATATAAAGCAATATAAAAATCGCTGCAATAGAAATTAATCGTATTTATCACACGTTATAATATTAAATGTTGATGCAATGTAATGTTTGTATACTTGTCTGCTTTATAATTGCATTTAAATATATAAGACGATAGGCAAATATACTCCAAGCATCAAAGCCAATACAAAGTTAGAAGTAAATTGTAAAAACTCAAAATGGTGTACCATTTAAGTATTCCATGCTCCTTAAATTTTCCATTCGGAAGATTATTACAACCTGCCTATTGCTTGAAGTTACATAGGGTTGCTATGTTTGGTTGACTATTGTTAATTGAGACTTTTTTATACATATTCATTAAAAAACTAAAGTGTGAATGTAAAAAGATATTAGCGGCGTAAATAATCCAGCGCTATAGACATATGTACAAAATTTTGCCTTATAATATAGTAGATGTTATAGGTAAAGTACCGCGAGATATTTGCGTATAAAAAATGTATTTGTTAAAGGTGCGCATTTTATACACTACCGACTCTCCCAAAGACGTGCTCACAACATGCGTTATGATTATTTGTTATTGGAATTCGGTTCTTCTGCACAATAATTCACCAATAGTGGCAACCCAGAATTGTTTTTTCAATACACTTTTTTTGAACTTTCTTAGTATTTAAAAGTAGATATGTAATACATAATGCTTAAATAAATAAATTAAAAAAACTGAAACACCATTAAAGAATCCTCAAACAACGTGTTTATATATTATAGGTGCTCTTGTATACTTAGACACAACAGTGCAATTGTGTAAATAATTCTATTATAATGTAGTTCATTATGATAATTCCTATGATTCGAAAGTGTTATGATGCGTGTGAATTAAATTAAAAAGTAATCGTGTTTATAAAATGTATTTGTAGATGCCATTTTCCAAAGTAATGTAATACTTATGTATGAGATACCTTAGTTCATAATAATAATATTGACTGCAATCGCGCTTTAGAAATTTCTGAGTCCATAATCCATATAGTAAATAGAATTGACTAAAAACACCCTTATTGTGTTTCAAGAAAATGTCACCTGTACGTTAGTGTAATTGTGTACAATACAAACTAGGTAATTGTATTTTTCCACTGCCAGTATTGCAACATCCAAGTAATAAGCATTTAGAATAAGTGTAGCCATTAGCTTAGTTATTAGTGTTTACACTTAAGAAAACCTAGTGGAAGTGAACGATTTTTAATAACATTTTTGTAATAAAATTCAATGAGTACCTAAATAAAGCTTAATTTTGTTTATTTATATACACCTTATGAGTACCTGGCTGTAGCCAACTAGCCGGTATGTTTCCTAATTACGATACTTATATCCATTTACAATATTTTTTTTCTAAGTAGATAATAATTTATTTAGAAAAATCTAAATAATGGCAATTATGTACCTTAATGAGAACTTACAAAGCAAACTTATCCTAACCACGACAAACTTGTAATGTTGCCGGGAACTACACCGCACCGCACGCATGAAAAGAACTATTAATCACCACTTTCAACAAGCAATGGGCATAATTTCAAATGTTGAAATAAGTACCTGCCTAACATAATAATATTTTGATTGCATCTTAGTTTAGTTGCAAGCGCACCCGCCTTGCCACTTCCGTACAACGAGTATTGGGTTCGAACCCCGGGTTGAGAGTAGCTTTTTGATGAAATAACTATGGTGGCGAATGAGCAGACGGATCACCTGATGGTAAGCAATTGGAAGCATCGGAGCCGCGGAGAACCTAGCGGGTTACTGGGGCTCCGGCTCGAAGTGCAGGAGTAGGAACGGGTTTGGTTTTTAGTCAGTAAGAGTCTTACACTCCCTTCCGCCTTTCCCAGGCGGAAGAAGTCATTCGATGATTTTTACCCCCCTTAAAAAAAGCAATTGGAAGCATAGTTATAAAATAATTAATGTTGATAATTTTAAATAAAATAGCTATCAGTAGTACCACGGAGTTCTCATCCAACCGTTTAAGGTCACATTACTTGTATATTATGTTGAATATACCGCCGGTATCTCTGAAACGAATCATAGCAAGTTTTATCACGATGAGATAGTGAGTGCCTGTGGATAACGTACGAATGAAAAAGTCTTATGTTGAAAAAATATTAAATCCTGTACAAAATAATTTTATAACCATCGACGTTATTTCATTCATAGATCAACATTTTGTAACTGTGTCACTGTCAAAGGTCTATGAAGTTTATGGGAAGTCACTGTCAAATAATGATCAAATTAATGTCACATTTTGTTTACTAGCTCCTCTCTTTTGTCATCGACGGTGTGTGTGCAACAAAACCACAAGTTTCAATCTTAAGAAATGATAATCTTTTGTAATTAAACTATACTTTATTAACTATGTCGACTCGTGAAATACTTACATTACAATTTGGACATTATGCCAACTATGTTGGTGCACACTTTTGGAACTTGCAAGAACTCAGTTTTGATTACACAGGTAATGTGAAAACAGAGGTTAACCACGATATTTTGTATCGTGAAGGCCAAACAGCCAAAGGAGAAGTAACATATACACCTCGGTTACTTTTGGCCGACCTAAAGGGTTCTTTAAAAACTTTACCTGAAGATGGTGGTCTATCCAGTGAAATAGAAGAAACAGAATTTCAATGGGATGCTGTTGAAAAAATCGAAGAACCAGCTCCACCAAAAAATGAATACTTAGAAGATATTGATAGTGAAGGATCAAATGCTTTCACAAAGCAATACAATTTCGAACAGGATGTTAAAACATGGACAGATTACCTGTACCCAAGATTTCATGCAAGGACTGTTAATATTGTTAAGGATTATGTGCATAGCGATGAAACTGTAAGTAATGTCTTTCGTCGCGTTTTTATTTATTACTTGACTGTTCATAAATTTCTAACTAATTTGTATTTTTAACTTCCAGGAATGTTTTGATGTTTTTCAAGCTGGTAAATCTTTGTGGAAACATGATTTTGGTGATAATTTTTGTGACAACATTCGAAGATATGTTGAAGAATGTGATAGTATGCAAGGGTTTCAAGTTAATTTTGACTGTGTAGATGGATTTGCTGGACTTGCTCTTGGATGTGTTGAGCACCTTGCTGATGAATACACCAAATCTATACTTGCATACCCAATTATACCTTCATATTTTCCTGATAATAAACCATCAACACAAGAAGAGAGAGATAAATCAAATTTAAAAGATTCAATAAGGCTTGTGAACACTGCTCTTTCTATCCAAGAACTTTCAGAACATGCAACATTATTTGTGCCTATTTGTACTGGAGATAAAGGTTGGAGAAAACCTGGAAATCCTAGAACATTTGACTATCTTCATTATAATCAGGAACTGTATTATCACAGTTCAGCTTTATTAGCATCAGCTATGGACACATTAAGTCAGAAATACAGACACAAAAGCAACATTTTTACATTGTCAGATATTTGTGCTGACCTTACAGGTTATGGCAGGAAAATGGCATCAGCTTCACTAGGAATGCCATTGCCATTAAATGAATCCCAATATTTAATAGACTTTCTGAATACCACAACAAAACCTATATACACAAGTATAACTCCAAGTTGTAAGATTGCTACTGACAAAATATTCCAATTGATCACAGTGCGAGGAGTACCAGAGAGCTATTTAAAAGCACCCCTGAAAGAAGCCAAAGAACAAATGAATATACCAGCATACCGGTGCACTAGTGTAAAGGAGATGTTTGAATTATATTTCCAAGCAAATAATTTCCTTTCAGCAACAAATGTGACTGTATGTGAAAAGCCTTTAGAAGTGAAAACACCATATCCTAAGATATTTTCATCTGAATTGAATAAATATGGTTTTATTAGAGATGGAAACAGTGAAGAAAAGGTTGAGAGTTGTGTTGCAGTTGCAGGGTACCACAATGGTAACTTTATGTCAGATGTTATTGAAAAACTTCACAGGGAAACCAGTAGGATTAAGTTTTCTAAACTGCACAAGTTCAACCAAGAAGGGTTTGAGGCTTCAGAGTACAGTGAAAGCTTGGATAAGCTTGCAGAATTTAAAGATAACTATGAAGATGATTTTGAATTGTAATATCTTAAGTAAATAATTAACAATGCACTGCATACATAACTAAAAAGCTTTAATACATTTTTGTATACATTCAGTATTGTGTTTTAATTAATATTATGACTAGCCATCACATTATGGCAGTTATTTTTATCAAATAGGTTACCATACAAGCAGACAGAATAAGACTTCCTTACCACAGGAGTTTAAGTTCGTTTGGGGCTCGAAACGAACGAAAACGAAAGTTATAAGTTCGGGGGGGGGGGGGGGCTTTGGGGATTAGGAATGGGGAAAGGGTTGGGCATCCAATAACCTGACACAGTGAAACACATTGCAAGCGTTTTTTCTAGCCGGTTTTATGTGAGGTTATGGTATTATTTAGGTAGAGCTTGTGCTGAATATGTGCCTATGGAAAATATTTCTATTGAAATAATGGCAAGGAAATCTTGAACTTCTGTTGGAAGTCATTAAAGGAAACAGGGTCATTATGTGTTAGTATATAAATTATTATAGCATGAACGTCCAGATCCGCCTTGTGGAGCCCAACGATGGGTAATGGGACCAAGAAATAGTGTATTCTAGAAGAATACCTGCTTGGTCCTTTAAGAGTTTTACACACGAACGGCACATTGCAACGGTAGAGGCAACTGCTGCCGTCAACGCGTGTCCGCGGCAACCGTCGACACACGTATGTAAGAGCTCTTCGAGAGTAAAATGCTTCAGAGCTTGCTTTAAATGCTTAATAGAGTTAACCAGATATGAAATAAAAGCAAGTCAGAAAATTCATATAACTTTATTCAAGATGATTTAGATAAAATAAATCATATTCCAATCACAACGCCGCACATACATACACATTTACATCAAATCTTAAGTTCTACTAGCGATCACGATGAACGCTCAAGTGCTCTTTCCTTCATCCTCGTTATAAATGCTGCACCTTTGTTCTTTCTGAAGTTTTCGTAAGGATCATTAAGGTTTACACCAACACCTGCAATAAAATAATGCATAAAATAAATAATAATAAATATACCTAAAAAGCCATAAAAAATATGTGTCTATTTATTAATCCTATCCATAAATCCTTTGGACAATTTTATATTCTTACCTTTGTATTGGTCTTGTCTGTCCCGAACTATGCCACCGCTAATCGGCTCGGCAATGCCCTGTCCAGAAGCTCCTAACCCGCCGGCGCTCCATCCCATCTTTTGCAATAACTGATGACCTTTGTTGCTCGCGTCCAGACCTGACATAGACGTACTAGGGTATGCTCCGCCACTGTGGATAGGTAAATAATATTCATTCATACATACATAATGACATAGTTTATGAAGTCATTTAACACTAAAAATTAAGCAAATTCTTGTAATATTTTTTTTTTATTGTCATTTACTCACAGGAAACTGGGAGGCGTGGGTGATCTAGAACGTTCAACGCGGCGTGATCTCGGTGATTCCCGATGTCTGTCTCGTTCCCTAGATCTACTACGCGATCGTGACCTTGACCTCGATCTGGATCGTCTACGACCTATAAAATACACTATTTAGTACTGAACAGAGAATATAATTTAAGTCAATATTTACATAACATAACATCACACCTTTTATCCTCGAAGGGGTAGGCAGAGGTGCACATTATACCACTGTACAATGTAACACCCACTTTTCACTATTTATGTTATGAGTCCCATGTAATAGGGGGTGAGCCTATTGCCATATACCGGGCACAGTTCCAGACTCTGTGCTACTACTGAGAATTTTTTTAAAACCCAGTAATACTTTGCCCGACCCGGTAATCGAACCCGAGACCCCTTGCTCGACAGTCGCAATTGCGACCACTCGGCCAACGAGGCAGTCTAATTTAAGTCAATATTTGTGATATGTGAAAAGAAAAGTTAATAATTTCTTTTTAAGAATGTGATTACTCTTATAAACACTTACTGTCTCGACTTTCTCTGTCCCGTTCTCTTCTCCACGAAGTTGATGAAGTTGACTTTCTTTTTGGAGATGGCGATCTGGACTTTGACTTCGTAGGTGATGCAGCTTTTTCTGGAGTTTTACTTTTTGATCTGTTAGAAGACAATATTTTTGTTTTTTATGAAATGTTCGTGGATACTTGCAAACAAGTGCTTATGCGAAAATAAGTCCTGTAAAATAGAAATCAGATAGTAAGTTATAGGACTTTGCATCATACCTGTATCGTCTACCAGGTGGGGTTGGTTGTTTCTGCAAGTCTTTTGGTATTGGACTAGGAGATCTGGACTTCTCCCGGAAGCCCTGAGCTATAGCCTCTTCCTTCATTTTTCTAGCAGCATTCTTAGCTTTATAGTATTCATAGAGTCCTAATTTCTCCCAACCCTCACTGAAATAAGGGAAAGAAAAGTTATTACAAAAATTAAATCATTCACTATGCATTGAATAATTACACAGAAATATGATATACAAAAGTTTAAATGTAATGATGTACTGACTTGTCTCTTGGCCTTTCGTGGTTAGGTGATGCATAGAATGCATCAACTGCAGCCAGAAGTCTTTCATTAGGTGGGGCAGGAGGTGGAAGGCGAATTTTTGCCGGATCCAAAGGTCGGTACCGATCGTCTTCCAACTAAAATAATATTTGTTGTTAGAACTATACATATAAATAAAAGCAGACAACCTAGGGCAACAAAAGGAGTGCTGTGCTTCTTATTTGTTAACATACTATAAGCTTTTATATTTGCACCCCATTTGTCTATTAATCCACTTGTCCAAAGAAAAAAAAAGTCACATACCATAATGAGCGGGACCATCAAACCAGCTGGCAATTCAAAGTATGGTACGGAAGGCATTAATTCTTCATTGTTTACTTCAGGGAATGGTGGGAAGCCAGGTGGGGGCTTGCTCAGATCTGGAAGACCATTTTGGAATGCTAACAGTGCCGGGTTCTCGTTAGGTACGAATCCAGGAGGAGGTTGGGAGAAGTTTATATTTGGAAGATTTGATAAATCCGGTTCTTCAGTTATTTCAGTTTTCTTCTTCTGGTTAGTAATTTGGTCAAATGTTTGACTATCATAACTGTTTTCATTTCCACTTAGGCTATTGTTAGATGCATAGTTATCGCCACTTTCGCTTCCATATTGGTTGTTGGCATTAAAGTTTGGTTCATAACCACCCATTGGGGGAAAACTTTGATCATTGAAACTGTTATTTTGAAAATTATTTTGCATATTGTTTTGCTGTACATTGTCTTTATTCTGATCATGGCTGTTCTGCAATTCGATAGCGTGCTTCTGCATTTCTAATTGTTGAATCTGCTGCATAGTATGCGCGACAAAAGCTTGGTGTTGAGTTTGGTAGCTGTAAATTACAGATATAAAATATTAGTACATGTTATACTTACTTATGATTTTATATCATCAAACACTTACTTTTCGAAAGTAGATTTAGTTTGTTGTGTTAAATGTGCAATAGCATTTGAGTGCTGTGAGATCAAATTGTTCTGGTACTCCTGGTAGGAACTGGTGGGACTCTTCATTTTTTCAATGACTGCTGTCTCGAAATAGTTAGACTTGGATTCCCACAGGCGCAGTAACTTGTTAAGCTTAGCCTCCTGCTCTTCGGTAACAGCTGAAACAGCAAAATGATTAAACAGTTGTCGTATGGGCCAGGTGAACACTAAGCAAGTTACCTGACTGGCACAAACCACAGGTGATGATGTACTAAAAATGCTTTAACTTGAAGATGAGAATGCACAATCGAACAAGAGACCTACATCTTGAGGGCATTATTATAAATATGTTACCTATACTGGCATTGCAAAACATTGGAACCACCACATTTTCCAAATTTTTCTTGAGATCTTCTGCGTTTTTGCGTGCACTGTAATTAGGAATAATAGCATCATAGACACCGATTTGATAATGACACGAAGTAAAGGGAGGTAAACAATGGATACAAAGGGAATATAAATAATATAATCACATAGTATAACACCGTCAATTTATTCTAGTGTTAGGGTAAAATAAAGTAATAGAATAAATACCTGAATGTTATTGTTTCACAAATATACATATATGATTTGAAACATAGGCCACAAAAGTAATTGGAACTAAAAAGTTACATTTAGGTACTATGGCATATTTATACCATTTACACTATTGTGAAGAAACCAATTAGAACCACAAAGTAATTAGAGATCCAAAGAAAAAACTATGTAACTTACATAATCAATCCTGATAATGAACAAATGAAATTAATTAAGTTATATGCATTATTTGGTACTAACCAATGGTGTAAGACATCATTGACCAGGTAAATGATGTGAAGTTTCTGCGTGAATGCTGCACCCGGCTGGGTCACCTTTCTTAGAAGGTGCTGCGATATAACTTTGCCCGCATCATGTGAAGTTGCATGCTGTAGTATCCATCCTTTACCTACAAGAAAAAAAAATAAAGTAAACAGTGAGTAGTGAGAATATTGTTTGCAACAAATTTTTCCAATTAGATTCCATATCAACAATACTCAAAAATAAACAAACACTAACCAGATGATATACTATCTTTGGTGCATGTATCAATAATTGGCTGCAGGATGGTGTCCAATTCGCTGAGGCTGATATTGTTGTCTTCTGCCATCATCTGTATTGTTTCCACTTGAGCCTTGCTAACCAACTCGTTGATTTTAGCTTGTTGTTGCTGAATCAACACCTAAAACATTTACACTACATTTTTAACTGTTCTACCTCATAAAACTATCATAAATTAATAAAATAGATTAGTTTTGTAGCAAATAAATCTATCAATAGTCATACAATAAAGATAGAAAAATTACAAGACAAAGAAAAGCTATTGAAAAGAAAGTATGTACACAATCACTGTAGAATCATCCTAAAGTATGATACAGCCTGTAAATAAATATAATTCATTTTAAAGGTAAACCAGTATGCCACATTAGTGAAATAAAAACAACATGCAAAATCTTATTGAAAAATTGTTCATTGATTTGAGCAGTACTTTAATATTTTACTACTAAGTTAATAACTTTTTAATTTAATTGACAAATAATAATTAAAGTTTTATATGACTCACCGTATGCTGGGCATTAAGATTATTCTCAGATTGAGTAATTTGCTCTTTGAGCATGTTGATCTGTGCAGAGATGTTGTCGAGGTCATGATGGGTGTGCTGCGCTGTGCCAGGCGGCGCCGAGTTGGCCGCGAGCCACTGCTGCAACGCGGGCGCCACCGCCATCGACGCCGCTAGGCCCAGCTGAGCGGGAGTCGCTCCGGCCTGTTGGGGCATTACATATTGCCTGTTCTGTGCCATATAAGGCCCGGCGGGAGCAGGAGCCGGCTGGCCACCGGCCGATTGCTTTAGAACTATAAACAGCGGAGGTTCACTTAATCGGTTATAACAACACTCTATCAGCTATTTATTGAAACATTGAAACTCTTCCATTGTCAGTTCAGTATGCTTACTTGCTTGCTCTGTAGTCACTTTGTACTGGTAGTAGTTGAAGTAGTCTCCGCCATAAAGGAAGCTAAATTTTGGGTTGTTTTTTTGCTTGTTCTTCGTCATTTTTTCGAATTCAGGTCCATTTCTTGCAACAAACTGGGCCAGTTTGTCGATTATGTTCCGAAGGTCTTGATCTAAAAAGATTGATATTGATATATTTGGATTTACAATATTAATAGATATCGTATAATTGTTTTATTAAATTAAGACAAACCTTGTGGCGGCTGCGGAAGCTCCATTTTATTGGTAATAAGGTTATGTTAGTAGAAACTCTTTCCACGATACTTTAATAAGTATTTTATGGATCCACGTTCATTTCAACGTTTATTCTTTACTTTCCACGTCTTCAATGGTTACAGTCTATGAATTTATGTTTTTCACTGACTTTGCGCTTCGCGAAAAAATAACATTTATTTCTTCGTCAACGACTAAATTTTTTCAGCCATTTGTAAATTACGTACGAAATGTACGAAACTACGAATGTACGACACAAACTCTGAATATTGTAGTGAATGAGTGAATGAATGAATAACCGATAAATTATTTTTTGTGCCTTGTGAGTAATGTAATGACTAATGAGTAAAAGAAAGGTACTTAGGAATAGTACGATACAATCAAAGAAGAAATCTAAATATTAAATGTGGAAAGAGAACTTAAATAATTTCCAAATTAAAAACCATCGTACTTTTTTTACCTCCACAACCAATGGCAACACTGCAACGTAGTCTTTGCCTAGTATTGATCGCTCAACCAATGGATTCTCAGACAAAATAAATTCAATGCAGTCATTCGTTGTTTAGCGGTGACGGCTCAACGCAGGCTGATGTCAATGCAGTCGACGTGAATCATTTGTCAAAATCGAAGATTAAACTCAAAATAGCACCTTAAAAAATAAAGGAATTATAGTAAATATGTCTGCAATGGTAAGTTACATTTTCTTTACAAATGGTTGAGTTACTATGTCTATAAGCCTTTATGAAAGTAGCGTTGGAATGATACCTTTATTCGATATTATTTTCAGTAACTGAGTAATTTTGTCTAATAGTTTACATCCCTATAAAACACCTGCATAAGGTCGATTTTTGCTAATTGAGCCAAACTGCTAGAACCTGTCATCATTTCATCATTAAAAAAGTGTGATAAACCATCTCTCTCACAATATTGTATCTAAAATATCAATATTATTGTTCGTCATATAGAATAAACCTTTTTGTACACTAGACCACTGTTTTAAGGGCCAATTAATTAAAAAAATATCCTCATAGTTATTAATTATGGAGTAGAAAAAACCTATAATATCCTTATCACAAAACAGGAACTAACTACAAGCTTATCATGTCAGGGATACAGTTTTCTGTGAGCAATTTTTTAAATAATATATTTTATTCTTTGCAGCGGATGAAGGCAGCAAAATGTCCCTCAGACGAGCTTGCCATTACAAACTGTGCTCTTATCAACCCAGATGACTTCAATAGTGATGTCAAGTAAGTTTCATTTTCTTTATTCTTCATTTAGTTCTTCTACTTTATTCCTGGAGGTTAGCAGTTGAACTTTTTTGTCCCATGTGGTAAGCTAAAAAGATACAAAGCTCCTAGTATCTATCTCATAATATTCTTCATTTATTTTTAAATGTCGGGATATAAAACACAATAGAAAATACATTGGTTCGATCTGTGTTTAGGCACACAAGAGGTTTAATGAGTAGGTGGTATAGAATAATTATACACACCCAATTAGACCAACAATTTATTTGATTTAATGACATCATTGAAGACATTTCATAAAAAAATTAAAAAAAAAAAGTGTGATGATTCACACTCACAGCAGACAACAGTTTATCCTCTAACATAACATTTTACACTTATTATATCAACCATTGTATATATTTTAATTTCGTTATTATAAAGTTTGATGTATTACATACTCATAAGCAATACAGTTTGTGAAATCTAGGGCAACTGTTGCACTTTCTAAAAGGAATGAAACAAAGATTACAATCATAAATGCTCATAGTTGCTTATAAAAATATTTCTTACAATAATGTAATACATACATACCTCTTTCGCTTCATCAACAGTCATCAATCTTTTCATGCATAAAGGTATGTAGGAATCATAGAAATTGTGTTCCCTAGTCTCTGCCTACCCCCATTAGAGACAGGCGTGAAGTTATGTATGTATGTAATACAGTCAATGTAAATAGGATGCATTACAAAATGGACAACCCACAATTATAGATTAAGAGGCCATGAGAAAGAAATTGTGCTATGTTAATGTTCCATTGTCTTTACATACCTGGGAGAAAGATGTGATAATGTGTGTTCAGTTTAAAAAACAAATTCTAGTTTTTATATTGAACACACATTATAAATTTACCTGCTTTACTACTAAACCAAGTAATATTTAGACAAGCTTCTTACTCGTCTCATTTACATACAAGAGTCAGAGAAAGAATAATAATTATCTATATTAATAAAAATGAATTTCCGTTCGTTAGTCTCGCTAAAACTCGAGAACGGCTGAACCGATTTGGTTAATTTTGGTCTTGAAATGTTCTTCGAGGTTTAGGGAAGGTTTAAAAGGTGAGAAAAATAATTGGAAATAGGTCAGCTAGTGTATACTAAAGACTTCTTCAGGTTACCAAAATATATATAATATTTTCCAGTTTTTCTGCCAGACTACCTCGTTGGCCGAGTGGTCGCAAGTGCGACTGCCGGGCAAGGGGTCTCGGGTTCGATTCCCGGGTCAGGCAAAGTATTACTGGGTTTTAAAAAAATTCTCAGTAGTAGCACGGAGTCTGGAATTGTACCCGGTATATGGCAATAGGCTCACCCCCTATTACATGGGACTCATAACATAAACAGTGAAAAGTGGGTGTTACATATACATTGTACAGTGGCATAATGTCCACCTCTGCCTACCCCTTCGAGGATAAAAGGTGTGATGTTGTGTTATGTTCCAGTTTTTCTTCCAATTTATTTATTTCTATTTTCTAGGCACATTGAAGTATCAACTGGACCATCACAGCACTTTGTGTTCAGTATTAGGTTCTACAGTGGTGTAGACCGTGGCACTGTTGGATTCTCTGCTCCACAGAGAAAATGGGCCACTCTCTCTATTGGTCAGGTAAGTTTCAAAAGTAATTTTTTTTCTTTGTAAATGCTTGACCATTTAAGTACTCACAATTACATACAAAATTAGTTTATACTTAAAAATGAAACATGTTTTTTTTTCTGTTTGCTTTAAAATGGGATAAAAATAGAACATAGACATGTTTTAGATAAACCAAAAAATTTCAACTTATGTTTGTTTTCTGCAGCCAATCGATGTAAAGCCTTTCAAGGCTCAAAACGCAGAGTGCTTGTGCAGTGTGACCTTAGAGGCAGACTTCATGCTGAAGAAAACGTAAGTATATTATATACAACCTTATGTATACATCTAATCTAATTATGTGAGTCATCTGAGTGGCTGGTGATGACATACCTATGTTTCTGATATGTCTATGTTTAGTTCAATGGAATAGTATGTCTATGGCAGACCTGCTAGTATTATAAACTACCATTTATTACACATACAGTTTTGGAAATCAAAACAAGAAAATGTTGCTTTGTGTGGTATCTAAATCTCTGAGGTATTTGAACATAAAAAATAGTAAAAATACTGGTGATGTTTTAATAACAGCATTACGAACAAATAAACTGTATAATCACCGTAACCTGAGCGAATTGGGACCCTTAAATTTTATATAACCTGGGCCTAATCTCGACAGGCTTTCTCTAATAAAAGATTTACGACACAACGACTCTTCTAATTTGCTCACAAAGGTATTTCAGTTACTCTACCCATCTTGTTTTGATTAGGAAAAGTGTAGTTTCCCATATTGTTATAATAGCAATATTTGAAACAAAAGGAATATTATTTAAAAATGAATGGAATAATAAATTAAATTCCGTTCGCAATGTATTAAAATATTTATTGTAACATTTCCCGTAGCAGCGTCATACATTAATGAAATGAATAAACCTTTTTAAACAGGGAGTTTTACCTACCAGATTTCAACTTAACTCAGTCCTACACCATTCTTTGGATAGTGCCTTGAATACAAATAGGTTTTACCATGTTTTTGTGTCTATGTAATAAGCCTTAGTAATTTGGACTTACTGTACTTTGGCTTACGTAAGCTCATAAAGGGTTTCACACTTTTCATAAATTACGAAGTTATCAATATGTCTTCACAGCTTAGTGAATAGTCTTTTTATTGGCCTCTGACCTACTGGCAGTCGTAATAAAAACTTAATAAGTAAAAGGATGGAAATGAGAATTTATGTATTCAGGCAGGCTCTTGATCCCGTGACCTCGTTCCCAGACCATAAATAACGCCTTTGCGGCCAGTATTTCTATTCTGGGGATAAAAAAACTTAAGCAAACGTAGTATAGGGTTCTTTCCAACTTGGTGGAGTGACGATATCCGCAGTGTGGCAACTAGTGGTTGGATGCGAAGAACTGAAGATCGAGCTCAGTGGCCCGTTTTTGGAGATCCCTAAGTAGGTGAAAACTAGCTGATAATGAAAAAAACAAAGTGCCATTATGTTCACTACGTTAATTTACAGTTTTCTCTCTATTTGACGAAATAACTGGACTAGTTTCAAGCCACGCTAGAGGATCATATTTAGGGGCAGCATTGCGCGATGATAAAGGGAAATCACCACAATTTTTATTATTTATCTAATTATTTTCAGAACATCCATGGAGCCTTACGATTCGGAGCAAATGGCTCGCGACTTTTTGATCCAGTTCTCCAATCAGATCTTCACAGTTGGTCAGCAGTTGGCCTTCTCATTCCAAGAGAAGAAGGTCCTGTCCCTCATTGTGAAGAATTTGGAAGGTAAGATCTATCACTACCACTTTTAAAAAGAGTCAAGAAGACTGATTAATTATGTGTATATAATAAACACATCAATGACCTTACCTAAATGACTAAGTTATACATATTTTAGGTGTAATATTTTTAAAGAAATTGTTTTTCATAAAAATGACTTTAGAGCTGGGACATATTATTTACCTAGCTTTCAAATACGTTTTTGTGGTCCTAAAAATGTAATATGACCTTAAAATAAATTATTTGATCTTTCATGTATTTTCATAGCCGTTGATGTCCAAGCTTTGGCCGCTGGAGCTAACGCAGTACCTCGTCGTGTCAGGATGGGCCGACTCCTACCTGATGGCGCCATTCAATTCGACAAAGCTGAAAATTCTTCCCTCAACTTAATCGGAAAGGCTAAAGGGTGAGTAATACCGAATGCAAAAGTACTTAGGTACATAATGATGGTACACAATCTATTGGTCCGTACATGGGGCATAAAATTAACATGTAGGAAGATATAAGTTTTTCAACAATATTTATAGTATTAGTAAAACAGATACTTTTAATCGCAGTTTTAATAATAATAATAATTGTGATTCAGGAAACAACCACGTCAATCCATCATTAATCCTGACTGGGACTTCGGCAAGATGGGCATCGGTGGTCTGGACAGGGAGTTCAATGCTATCTTCCGACGTGCCTTCGCATCTCGAGTGTTCCCTCCTGAAGTCGTAGAGCAATTAGGTAAAATACACTTTATAACTGCAGTTTAAGGTTCACTTTGGAAAACATTATTAAATACTTGAATTTACTACATAATACCTAATCTTTCTTACTATTTCAGGTTGCAAGCACGTCAAGGGTATCCTACTATACGGTCCACCTGGTACCGGTAAGACTCTCATGGCCCGTCAAATTGGTAAAATGTTGAATGCACGCGAACCCAAGATTGTTAACGGTCCGCAAATCTTGGACAAATACGTTGGTGAGAGTGAAGCCAACATTCGTAGATTGTTCGCTGATGCCGAAGAAGAGGAGAAGAGGGTAAGTCTTGGCCAAATGTTGGAACAAATATTATGTCCTTTTTTTGCTCTTACACAAGTTATTAGGGGTCGACACAATATGTTTTCTTCATCTTATCAACACCTATAAATGTTTTTTCTCTCGTATCATTCCTCACACAAACTATATATCTTTTTATTCTTTAACTTGTTTACCACCTTGCTACTTTTCAATTCAGCTTCTTTTTAATCGTCTTTTCGTGCTTCTTTTTACTTAAACTTAGTCCACTTGGATGATACTTATATACATAAATCATTTGCAGTGTGGACCAAACAGTGGTCTCCACATTATCATCTTTGACGAAATCGATGCTATTTGCAAAGCAAGAGGATCGGTCGGAGGCAATACTGGAGTCCATGATACCGTCGTGAATCAACTGCTGTCCAAGATTGATGGTAAGTTATCATCAGTTATCAGCAGAAATCTGCAGAAATCTGCTCAGTGATAATAAGAACCATGTTCTACTGAAAGTCTGCAATGGTTTGTTTCCAAAGCATCTTATTGCGACTTGCTTGGAGCATGAAACTCCAGCATCTACATATATTCTGTTGTATACTATTCATCTCTTCCTATGAGCAAATTTTTTTTTCACTATGTATTAATTATTTCACTTTAAATCGGCCATTGTGTATGTTTATCCTACCAAACATACTTCTTCACTTCCATATTTAAATAATGTAACATCTTCCCTTAGGTGTCGATCAACTAAACAACATCTTGGTTATCGGTATGACGAATCGTCGTGACATGATTGACGAGGCGTTGATGCGACCCGGTCGTCTTGAGGTTCAGATGGAGATCGGTCTACCGGACGAGAACGGTCGCGTACAAATTCTCAATATTCATACAAAACGTATGAAGGAATACAAGAAGATCGCTGAAGATGTTGATTCCAAGGTATGTGCTTTGACAGTTTCTCCAATGTCAAGAGAAATTAGAGAAATGGTTCTTTGCGGGCAGTCCTTACCGGCGTTATCATTAACAAATTAACAATACCAACATTTGCTTTAATTCCAATATCACTAATTTTCTCATCATATAAATCATTTTAATTTTTTTCATTAAGTTATCTTTAAACCGTAACGTTTGCATATAAAGTCATTGCTCTCCCTATCAGTCGTGACTTATGTATATTTTTATCTACAACAGATAGACTTATTATAAATCTACCAACAGGAACTCGCAGCCCTAACAAAGAACTTCTCCGGCGCTGAATTAGAAGGTTTAGTCCGCGCCGCTCAGTCCACCGCAATGAACCGTTTGATCAAAGCGTCAAGCAAAGTGGAGGTCGACCCAGAAGCTATGGAGAAACTCATGGTTGAACGTGGTGACTTCTTACATGCACTTGAGAACGATATCAAACCGGCCTTCGGGACTGCGGCCGAAGCTTTGGAACATTTCCTGAGCCGTGGCATCATCAACTGGGGCTCTCCTGTGTCATCCTTGCTTGAAGATGGACAGCTTTACATTCAACAAGCAAGGGCTACTGAAGCTAGCGGTATGATTTGAGTTTTGTTACATAGGCATAGTAATGTTTAAAATGAGACTTTTTGAATAATCTCACCTGTTGGTGCTAGCGAGATATAAAATCTTGGGTCTACAAGATTTTATCATCCTAGGAGCTACTGTTGATATCCTTATTTGTGGTTGGCTCCTAGTTTGAACTAGTTTTGATTGACTGTCGGCGGTATTTTCATGGCACAGCCACCATCTACCGCCAAAGTTGATACCACATCCTTGGTTAGACCAATTGACTGATTTTCGGGACATCTGACTAGTAATACTATCTTCAAAATAGTTATAGCATTATACTTATTTTTATACAGGTCTAGTATCAGTACTGTTGGAAGGTCCACCAAACAGCGGTAAGACCGCATTAGCCGCCGAACTTGCCAAGTTGTCAGACTTCCCATTCGTGAAGGTCTGCTCGCCTGAAGACATGGTCGGATTCACGGAGTCCTCCAAGTGTCTTCAGATCAGAAAGGTATGTTTGATGTGTACGATTTGTATTATAAATTATGCTAGGCTCCGATCTATGGCTACGATAAAATAGCTATGATATCTGAAATACTCAAATACTTGTGTTTTATACGCAGCTAGTCATATAGTTATGCACTTCTTATATCAACTTCGGGATGATTAATTACTTATTAATTAAAACTTTGAATAGACAAAAATGTTGAAAAAATATATGGCTATGAACGGCTAGAAGATATAAATTTTCTATGTATTTTTTCACAGTACTTCGACGACGCCTACCGTTCAAGTCTGTCCTGTATCCTAGTGGACAATATTGAGCGTCTACTGGACTACGGTCCCATTGGTCCGCGCTACTCCAACTTGACGCTGCAAGCGTTACTCGTTTTGTTGAAGAAACAACCGCCCAAGGGAAGGAAACTGCTCATTCTTTGCACTAGCAGTCGAAGGTAATATTAAGATTTTTTATAATTTATTTCATCTAATTTCAGAGTTACTTTAAACATCATTGTAGTGTATGAATGTTCCGTCTACGGTGGTCTATCTAAGGAGCAAAGGATCTCGGCGTTCGATTCCCGGAGAAATAGCACAGTAAATTCAGAAATTGTGCCCATTGTACGACAATAGGCTCATTCCTTATTACATGCAGTGGCGTGGCAAGTCTATAGGGTCGCAAGTCGGCAAATTGCCATCCATCTGAATTTCTCTGTTTTTTTATTGGGAACGGGGAAATCAATCCGATGAAGCCCGAAGGACCCCGAATGGGATATCTATGCCACTGATTACATGGCACTTATAATCGTTAAATAAGTGGTGTAAGATGGGTGTCCCCAATAGTCCGTTAGGAATTAAAGCATGTCATTACTTTGTAAGCAGCCATTCTATAATCACCATTTACTATTCTCCACAGACAAGTATTGGAAGACATGGAGATGCTGTCGGCATTCACAGGCGTGCTCCACGTTCCCAACCTGTCTCAGCCGGAACATGTCATGTCAGTACTTGAAGAGAGCGACGCTTTCTCCAAGAAGGATCTGCTCAAGATCCAACAGGATATCCGTGGAGCTAGGTAAGTTATCCTGTTATTCAAGTATGGGCTTTTATGTTTAGTCTATTTTTACGTTTGGTCTAAGGTGGCAGCCATCGGATCGTGAAGCCGCCATTGAACTGCATAGTATGCAAAAAATACATGAACCTGTTTCTGACGCAGTTGGATAAAGTGATTTAGTTCGCAAATGCGTCAAAATCTCTGCAAGTTTCCTATCCTAACAAGCGGTAAGTCCCCTCTTTGAGGAGTGGCTTGAGAGACGCTACGGCGTCCTCACCTACCGCCTGACGCAGGTCCTCACCGGACATGGAAGTTTCGGGAGGTACCTGTGTCTGATGGGGCGGGAGGAAACGCCCGGGTGTCATCACTGCGAGGACCGCCCTGAGGACACGGTGGAACACACCGTAGCGGAATGCCCTGCGTGGGCTGAGCACCGCCGTGCCCTCAGGGAAGTGATCGGCGATGGCGACCTCTCGCGTCCGGGCCTAGTGCAGGCCATGATGCGGAGCGAGGGGGACTGGGATGCCGTCTCCTCCTTTTGCGAAGCAGTCATGCTAGCTAAGGAGGAGGCGGGACGCGTGAGGCAGCGAAGCGCTGCCTCCTCGCGACCCAGCCATCGCGAAGGACACACCGGGCGTCGGGGATCGCGGGACGATCTCCGGCCACCGTAAGCGCGGGCCTGCGGACGGCGAGCATGGGTGGCTCCCCGTCCGACCAGAAACAGACCCGAGCGTACGGCGCGTCGCGTTCCGCGCGCGCCTCAAAGAGCCATCAGACCACCACAGATGGGGCCCAATAGGGCCGATGCCGATTCGGAGTCGCGGAGAACCTAACGGGTAACCGGGGCTCCGGCTCGACGTGCAGGAGAAGGAACGGGGTGGTTTTTAGTCAGTAAGAGTCTGACACTCCCTTCCGCCTCACCCAGGCGGGAGCAGTCATTCGATGATTTTCCCCCCTTTAAAAAAAAAAAAAAAAAAATCCTAACATCTTTATTACAGTATAAGGAGTAAAGAAATAAAGAAGTACTGGTTAGTAGTTAGTGTTGTAGTAAATGATACCTTATTGCAAAGTGTTAGAGTCTATATGGATATTGGACATGGAGCTTGTTTTGTCCATTAGACCTTCCCGTTTAAAGCAACTGCGGAGGTTCCTGAGCAATGCTCCTCAGCCTACCCCTGAACAAATTGCCTTGTCTACAGCTACCCCAAGGTTCGACCTCCTTTGTAACATCCTTTTCGCATTATCTGTAGACTTGGAGTTTTATTAGGTAGTTCACACTGTAATGCTAATGTTGCTATTTTTCAAAATGTTTGTTTTATTTTACTTTGAAATCTTTTCTCTTACTTAAAATGAATGGGGAATTGTTCTGAAGTGAGGTATGTAGATTTCTTTTAAACATTAGCCAATGCTAAATTGAGAACATGCCCTGTCCTCTCCTTATAGTGTGAAACGTAACGTAAAAAAACCAGGTATGACGGAAGTTAGACAATATTGTTTTCATACAAAATCAATCTTCAACTTTTCTTGGTATACAAACAAATTTTGAAGAAAACCTTCATATTACAATTGTGATAATCGGTCTTTCTTTCCCAGAATCTTCATTGGCATCAAGAAGCTGCTAGCGCTAATCGACATGGTGAAGCAAACGGACGAGGAGTACAGAGTGTTCAAGTTCCTCACGAAGATGCAGGAGGAGGGCGGACTGGACCTGGGCACCAATGTACAATAAGAATCATTGCAACCTTAGGGACAACACGCGCATACCACACTATCGCCCTCACCCGACCACACTAATGCACATATCTGTACATCTAAAACACCTAATATCAAAGTCACGGAAAGCTCACCTTGCGTTTCCGATCTTAGAAGCTATGAAATCGATTATGACGAAATCAGCGAGTGCACCGAGTCGTTACTCGATACTAGTCATCATAAGAAAGGTATGACCGCCAGAGGCAACGAAATATCACCGTCTAAAATGCCTCTCATGAGGATTAGGAGTGTAGAAATTGTTTTCGAAGATGAAATGTCCACTTGTACAGACACCGGTATTTTAGATAGGAGCATCGAGTTGATAGTGTCTGATAGCAGTGACGATTCCACCAAGTGCGTGGATGATTTAGAAGGTCTGAACATTGAGAAGGATGCAAACTACGACTCTGTGACCCTAAACGCTGACGGAGATCTATCAGATGATAATTCTGTTTCATTAACCAAAGACATCGTCGAAGATGTTCCTAAAGTCGATATTCCCTTAATAAATTTCCAAGACGTTGATGAACCTTCTCATGTACAAACTGATAGTGCCACATTACCAATCGATGAAACCTTGTCGCCAAACGTGTCCGAAATTGGTGATTCAGGTCGTTACACCGAAGAAGCTTCCTCATCTCATTTTGAGACGATTCCCATCGAAGACGCTTTACTTTCGAGCTCAATTGACGCTATCACTATTGTAAAGACACCGACGTTAATGAGCTCGTACGAAATGTCTGATGTGTGTAGTATCGCCGCTGAGACGTCGAGACTGTATGAATATATCGATAGTAACAGCGACAGTTCTGACGACTCTGACAACACAGCGACGTGCGATATGGACCATGCTATTCAACATCTCACCAGCTTCAGTAGTAACTTATCGTCAGACGATAACACCGTGGGCGACAGTTACGACTTGCAGTACGATTCTTTCATAGATATGGGCAAATTTTAATACTACCTATATTCCAAACATGTTTAAAACTTTTAAATTATCTAATTGTGCTTATCTATCGATGTTTCTATAACGCTCTAAGGATTTTAACATGTAACACGTGTAATGCAGATTACTGTTTGACGTTGCGTCTTAGTTTAAATGGTTATTATTTATGAGTTGTTTAAAACCAACACATTCCAAGTGAATTATCGAAGGATTTGATTAAGTAAGTCCTGTTTTAGTACGCCAGTACAGCGTGGTGAAGTTTTAGTGTGAGCTATTCTGACACCTTATATACCTTCTTAACACAGCTTGTGCACAGAGGGGCTCGGTGGTATGCGGCTCTCGTAACCATGTCATGTCTCTGTACACTTGTTATAGTTAATTACTCTGTAGTGTTTTTGTAAATATTACGTATGTCTCCATAGCGCGTGCAATCTAGTATGTATACAGTCTTAGATGAACAATGACATGGTTACAGATATCCCTGGGTTGTAAGTCTAGGCAATAGCTCAATTATCTACAATGTATTATATTATTTTTATAGAGTTTTTATTTATTTTCAATTTGTCATTGAAATGTGATGCAGCTTGATGCTGTCTATTGTGTTAATACTTAAATAGGGATATTTTGATCAATGTGTAATATCGATAGCTGTAAGGGAATGATATTGATAATGTCAATAAATATGTAGTATTATGAAATATTTGAGGAATGTTGTTGTTATAATTCAGTAGCCCTCGAAGCTTTGACTTGGAGCATTAGTACAATTAAAGTATAAGTACTTATCTGCACATGTAGTAAATTTTATGGTCAATTATGAACACTACTAAGAGTATTCAACCTAATTGGATTGTTAACAAGATTCTTATCAGACTTGTCGAGAGTGCACCTCTACATAATGTTATGTAGGTGGTAAATATTTAAATATACAAGTTATGTTATAGTACGTGCGTAATATAAAAAAAATGAATGTTGCGATCATTGTCGATTTTAAAAAGTATCTCTATATTTAACGAACCATAGCTATAATATTGTTGCAATACATTTGTAGTAATTTATTGTTACATTCTACTGGTTAGATGCATTGTTATTGTCTTTTGAAGTAAGATAAAACATTCCACTCATGCATTCAAAACTGGATCGGTGTAGTACTGTATTTTAGAAAGTATGTATACATAATCTCAATTATATTATTGATAAATTGTGTGAAAAAGTTATTAAAATCTTGATAAAGCTTTTAGGTCATGAACTAGTGTTATGGCTTCTAAATAATAATATACTAACCGCCATTATATATTTACTTCTTTGTAAAAAATATAATTGAATTATGTGGAATTGTAAACTATGATACATGGGGCATAGCTCCTGAATAAAATGTTCTGGCAAATGAATGTATGATTTGTTACTTATTATAATTATTGTTTTTTTACTTTCGAAGTTGTCTATGAGCATTGACTTCAAGGACTAGTAGTTTCTGAAATATTGTAATGCTTATAAGATGTAATACTTATACATTCTCATAAGATGTAATATACTTGTGTGTTGCTATAAGTTTGAATTATTCTAATGGTTAAAAGTTGCTTGTTTTTAAAATTGTTTATTGTTACCTACACATAGAACATTGTTGTAAAACAAATATCTTCCAAACTTGTTTGATACTTTATGAAACATAGTTTCTCTGTATGTTTAATAATTAATAAGGTTTGCACTTATGGAACATTGCTTTCAGAAGCTATGTCACATTATCCTGTAAGCTTTATTGTTGGTAAAATAAAGTAATTGACAAACTAAAGTTGTTCTTTCAGAATTTATTTCCATACCGTTGATGTTACATTACAGTAATATTATCCATGTCATACTTCACAAAGTAAAAATATGCATTTACATACAAAATTAAATGTATATAGATACTAGTCACATAAAATTAAGTTTGAAATGTCTAGTAGACCAAAAACATTGGTGAGATTAAAAATATTTATAACTTAAGATAACCAATGGCATAAAACTAATTGGCGCTCTCACAAGCATCCACCCAGTCATTGTAAACATCAATGGGCTCGGATAACACGTTTGTAGTAGTCTGGAAGTCCTCTAAACAAACTCGACATTGTATCCGAGCCGTATTCCTGGCTCGATCCCTGAAAAAAAGACACGATGTAGTGATTCACAGATGGAGGGTATGTTGTAATGTAATCCGCCTGATTACTCACATTTTCACCTCACACGACTTCTCGTGGTTGCAAAATGGGCAATTGAACTGTTGATCCAATGGCTCAATAGCTTTTCTCTTTGGCGGAGGCTTTCTTTTCGATTTTCGGCGACCCATGTCTGAAAACTGAACAAAGTATAGCAATATTATACTTATTTATACTATACGAATTCACTTTACCAGGATCGCAATCACATGATTACTTTACTTTTTGATTATTTCAACAAATATTTGAAATACTTACTTGGTTATTTGTAGATTACTGTGAGAAGTGCGAAACCGAAATCTATTTTGTTGTATTGGAAATGGCACAAGCTGACTGCTGACAAGCACAACCCAAAACACTACTAGTAATGTCAAGTTTTGACAATATTGTTGTCATGTGTCATTCAGTTCTGAATCTTGCAAATACAAAAATGTGATTCGTATTGGAGACTCGGTTGCCAAAGAAGAAAGAAAAAAAAAGTGATTTATCGAAACAGACTCATAGAAAATAGACCATTTTTAATGATTTTTAAATAGGACATAAATTATTTACAGAACTGAACTTATTGTTGAAAGTAAGCTTGAGCCAGCATGGCTGAATGAACTATGTCAAGTTACTAGTTAGGTTTTCTAGTTCTTTTTTGGTTCTTTTATTCATCCATGTCTATAATTATGAAAAGTGACGAATAATGATTTTGTCAGGTATAGGTCTTATTAGACCACCCAATTTCAAGGGAGCCTAACTAAGAGTGGTATAATAAGACTTAAGGAGTGTCCCCCTGATTTGCCTAGCTCCCTAAGCGCCCTGCAGATTGGGTAATGTAATAACGTTTTGGGCGGTTATGGAGCTACCGTATCTTGATTTTGTATGTAAGGTGTCACCTAACTCAATAAGTGTTCAAATTGTTCTGCACCTACTCTGAGATAATTCCTTAAATTTTCCGGTTCAAGCACGCTTAGTATTTGCATATTTGAAACCTTTTCACGTAACTGCAAATACTCTTTCTACCAGAACTTTCTCCTTTTCAAGTTAGTTATTGCGAGTAAAGAGTATAATAAGTCCCGCTTGGATCTCTACGGGTTAAGGGATATTGCGAGCATGGTTGTCATAGCTACAGCAACTTTTTGAAGTTTCAATACTGACGACGGTATAATATAAAATGCGAAACTACGGGTATCTCTTTGTACATTCTCATATAAACTGAGTTAGGGCCCAAGTCACAGAGAAGTGTAATAAGCGCCGTACTATCTAGGTAGGGTATACGCCTAACCTGGATGCAGGGCCCTGCATATCGGGTTGGGCAATAAGCGTCTATGTTGTTGGTTAAAATAATAATCTATTGGGTGTTCAGTTCAGTCAGTGTGATGTAGTAACTGGCAACACAGTTATATACGGCACAGCTTTTCGGAGTGACGGACAGGACGGACTGTCTGATTGCTTGTCAAAAAGTTTGGTTTCTCAAAGCAAGTGTTTGTTCAAACTATTATTTTAAATGTATTCGTAAATAGAATTACCTTGCAATAATGACTCGGAATTTTGTAATTGGGGCTGTGATAGCTGTGCTATCACTAGGTGGTAAGTAGTTGCCGATACATTTAAATTTTCATTTATCGTTAGTGGTAACGCCCAATGCATAACGTATTTATTGACTATTGTGTTGTTTTAGTTACTACAGTTATTGCTGATTGTATGATACCATTAGTGCTGAGGAACACTTGGTTTTCCTTCGAAAATGGCAAGCAAACTATTACAGATATCAATGCGAGTGAAATGACTGGAAGGTAATGTTTACTGATTAATTTATCGTCTAATAAAATTATGACTCATTTAAATATGAAAAAATACCGGTTATTGACACTTTCATAAATTATATTCCAATAATTTAATAAAGCTCTAACATAAATTTCAAGTTAATGTTTACAAAACTATTGTGGACTTATGTACGACCTACCTTAGGTACTTATTTCTTCCCGCATTTTTTGCAGGGGTGTATGTGTGGACATTAAGGCTGAATACAGGGTGAACTATACAATGGTATTTTCATACACAAAATGTTATTATTGTGTCAAGCTGATTGTGAGGACAGTAAATGTGTTAGAGAAGATTGAGTCTCCTTGTGTGAACTTGGGTCCTGATGAGCAGCCCACTGTTGATAGAGTGTGTCGAGGCCTGAATCCTGATCAGCAGGGTCTGATCACATTGTTCTCTGAAAACTATGTGCCTGTAAGTTTCTAAGAGTTTATAAAAATTGTTAGTAAAATCTTTTAATCTAATTATTTGTTGTAATCTTAAATGAATCTTATTGTAATTTTATGCAAGGCATAACAACTTATAAAAAAAGATCAATCTTATTTTACTGTACCTAATTTATAAATTATTGTCAGGAATCTCATTAGAGTAAATATGTACCTTGTTCAATAATAGTTCTAATTAGAATTTGTAGATAACCCATTTCATTTCTTACTTTACTTTCAGGTCAATTGCCGTTCATCTCTAGAAGGTGTATGGCAGTTTGCATATCAGAATAGGTTCCGATTCACAGGAGAATGCAACCACCCTGATGCACAGATCAAATCTTGTCAAACAGCAGGAACACAGTTCTTAATAACCAATCAGAAGTTTAACATTACTTATAGGAAATGTGCTGGAATGTCCAACACTTTTGATGGTGTTGTGGAGTATAGTTGCTTGGGTAAGCATTTTATGTTGTACATTGTGTCAGATAGGCATTGAAATATTGTGTGCTAATGTGGCACATACAATAGACAATATTTGGTGATACATAGTTTTAATCTGCATATCTAATGTAAATATTTTATTAGCAGTTGTCTTTAGTTAAATAACATCATTTAATAAAAATAATAAAAAATGATGATAGTAGTACACATAGTAGCATGGAGTCTGGAATTGTGCCTGGTATATGGCAATAGGCTCACCCCCTATTACATGGGACTCATAACATAAATAGACATACAGTGTTACATTGTACAGGGGCATAATGTTCACCTCTGCCTACCCCTTCAGGGATAAAAGGCGTGATGCTATGTTATGTATGTAAATATCATCATATTTTCGATTTCTAAATTTTATTAAGTTTCTGATCAATGATTTATTCCAGGCCATTGGTTTGTCAACAAAAATCACTTCTTTGCTGTTGCAAACACAAAGGAATCCCGTAAAGATGAGAGGTACCGCTGTTTCCTCAAGAACAGAGATGATGATCTGTACATTGGGGCCTCTATTACACCAGAATGTAACACATTGAAGACTGTTGAGAAGTCCCCTGAGAGATACAGAGTTACACCTGTTAAGGTAATGTATAGTTATTAATCTGTCAAACACCAAGCATCACCGGTGACCGCGACCTATTGTTCTTTAATTGTGTCTATAAAACCGGTACTCGACGAGTTAATTCAATTCAATTCAATATTTTATTGCACTCCATAAGTTTCATGAAGGTGTTACATTAGATATTTTGGTACATTATGGACCCTGTAAGGCACGGCAACGTAGAAGAGAGGAGGAAGCTTGTTTTGTAACTATTATTATAATTTTTTTTATTTATTTGGTTTGATAAAAATTTTTACATGTAAAACTAAAACTTCAACTTCGATCTTAGATATACATATATTACAATTTAAGTACTGGCAGCAGCCGATAAGTTTAAATAAGTTATCAATTTTCTTTTATAATTTGTCCCGTAGGCTGAAGTGGTAGAACCAGGTTGTCGCTTACCACAAAACTTCTCTGGAGAATGGATCAACACTGCCAATATTGATGCAGACGTATTCATCAATGAAACTCACATTATAGAGACTTACTACCCTGATGAAGGAAGATTCAGAAGAACTATTTATGTTTGCAGGTAAATTGCTAATTTGGTAAAAAAACAAAAGTTGTTTTATGTGAAAATGCAATTATAACACTTATCGTTTTTCATAGGGAGCAGCGTGACAGTAGAGTGATGATGGCTCGCCTCACAGTCGATGGTTGTCAAAAGGATTATGTGTGCTTTGACTTTGTACCACAACATCATAATATTATAAGGTAATCATTTATCTTCTACTATAGATAATTCATATTATAGTTACAATTAAACTGTCAAACACCAAGGGGGTCACCGGTGACATCAACCTATTGTTCTATAATTGTGTCTATAATGACGGTACTCAAAGACTTAAAATGGTGTTGCTTATGAATGTGTTTTTATTTCAGATACCGAAAAGGTTTAGCCATGATCCAGAGTAACTTCCACACAGTATGCTCTTGGGTCCAGTTCCCCAATAAACAAGAATGGCGATACGATATCTTTCTTAAAAAGGATCCATCGCCAATTCGTTGCCCAGTCGCAGGCAAATTCAATTTCACACAAAAAGGTGATGTTAGATTCGAAACAAGGATTTTGGGTGGTGTTACTTTAAGTCCGAGACCAAACTTGTACTGCAAACTAAATATCAGTGATTTCTCTGTTTGTGATATTGATCAGAAAACTATACAAATTAAGGAAAACTACTGTCTATCCGTGGACTACTTGGGTAGACCAGTTGATATCTACAGCGATCCCGATTACAGAATGAAATGCATAGGATTTTGGAAGGAGAATTTGAAGTCCTATCTGATTACTTATGACGAACTTGACCCATTTTCGAAGTACAGATGTTGGGTGTATCAACGGGCCGATCTTAACAGGTAATTATAATTGTATTAGTGTTACTGTTCACTCGATGATTTTTACAATAAAATAAAACTAGACATAAATAAAAGTGTTGTCTCGAATCTTTGTATTTAATTTATTACTTTATTTTTCCAGAGTACTGATGTCTCAAGCTTTAGGCCCATACTGTGACTTGAAGCAGGATGTGACATCGTGGAATTACACTGAAGGCGCAGCTGTCGCCGTTGAGATGGAAGAATACGAGAGAGAACGCGACCAGTGCCCCATGCACTTTGACGATGGCAGCGACCCTTGGTCTACAAAAGAAAACTATATCAAAGTGTTTAGTTTCTCATTTTGGGGCAGTAATTCTGCACAAACAATTGTAATAAATTCCGCTGTATTATTTATGGTAGCTTTATTTACATTAATACTGTAATTAATAAGTACATAGACTGATGTAGATTACAAATAGGTTGTCCATATTGTTTGTGTCTTGACCTCATTTTCATGAGAAGTGATGATCGGTTGTTCTGATCTGATCTGTTGTAGAAAAGCTACTTAATTTTAATATTGAACCTGATTTTATTTTATATTTTTAATGCTATTGCTATGAAGAGAGCAGCTATTTTTTTTTCAGTTGCAATGTATATTCCAGTGAACTATTTCGTCCAATTTTGTTCCAGTGCTGTTTTTGTACTCTTTGACAAATAATGATAAATCTAAGAAGAATCCATGTGCCTTGTATAAGTTGTAGATGTTTTTGAGCTCTGTTACATGTTTGTGTTAGATATGACTGTAATTTCGAATTCTTGTACTCTTGTTTTTTTCGAGATAGTAATTTAACATCATCAAGAAATGTTTAAGATTAATCTCAGTGTTATGTATCTCATGTTTACAAATACTTTTGATTTGTTACAATCAGTACTCTATAGTACCTAATACTAATGCATTTAGTGCCTTAAGATTAATAATTTTATGTATGTAAATATCTAGTTGTATGTATTGTCCAATTCATGATGACATCTAATTAACACTTTTTAAGTTAAAGGATAAATAATTTTATATCTCTATTGTTTGTATCAGTAACATGTTGTTACCTCTCTGTAATTAAGTCCGTCCAAAAGAAGAAATTAGAATACACATTTTTATATTTTTATTTAGACATCTAAATAAAGTGTTATAACTAAATAAAGTTTTATTCCCAAAATACTAAAATGATAACCCAAATATTTCCGAAATTACATTTGAAAATATCCAAAATATTTTCCAATACCTCACGGTAGTGATGAGGAAAATATTTTCTTTGATGCCTTATAATTTTCTTTTTTCATTATTATTATTTTTTCATTAGGTATTATTATTTTTTCATTATTATTATTTTTTAAGGTGTAAATATTTTATGTGTGTAGTTAATTATTTTTATAAAGTTATCAGATACTTGCAAAGTTTTAAATATCGTTCTTATTACATTTTCCAAAATTAATTTTTGACTTTTTATTCTTATATTTTAAACTAGCAACAACTGGACTTCCATTTACTAAATATATATCTTTTAAGTCTCCACAGAGCTACTACCACATAATACTACCTCTTTTGGAAATATGCTGTTACATTATAAGCTATGGCTGAATGGATTAAGGGGGTATAAAAGAAAATTCACTTATTTAAATTAATTGTATATTAAAATAACTTTCATCCAATACATAAATGTAAAAACATTGTAGACAAGATTAAGTTTGACTTCAACACAATTACCATCTCCTAATAATTGCAGCCGTAATAACATTATTTCTTAACTTACTATTTAGTAAATAAAATCAACTACTTAGTTATGAATGTTGAAAAAAATTTTAACCATTTAGTTTTGTATTTTCCTTCGATCAACAATAGCAACTAGATAGAGTGTTACGTACAAAATCAAGCTCCAGTTCTGTCCGTGTGAATAATAATAGTAAAAAAATAACAAACAGAGAAAAATGTTTTAAAATGGTTTTAAGTTCAACCTAATTACAACCATGGCACCTAATAATAAAGTCATAAATCGTCAAAATATTATCTAATACTTACGACCATTCGTCACATAAGATGAGAAAAGCATTTTCTTACTCCTGTCATGTAGAAATTAAAAGACATAAGTTATACAATATCTAGTTTGAATTCAACCTTAAGCTAGAACAAATAAAGATATTTTTTCCGTTATTGCCTTGTGATCTATATCGTTTTGTTTTGTTTCGTTTTGCTTCTTCGAATTTCGAATTTCGCTACAGGAGGTATGTATGGAGTCGCGTTGAACACTAAAATAATTTTATAATATGAAAATTAAGATTTTGGGATCTTAGTATACATCACTTATTTTTATTAGCGGTACGTTTTTGTGTATGATATGTTTATTTACTTTATCATTAAAAGTCTAAGTCAAAATCATGTATTTCAGTTAGACCAGGAAGGCACTTTTGAACGTCAAAAATATAAATTTAAAAGTGAAGCTATTTGCTCCAAGGTGTAGATTCCTATGGAGAAGAACGAGCAAAAAACACCATAGGTTAGGTACTCTTTTCCAATCAGGTTACAATACAAATCGACTCCATGCATCCACTGTTCTGTTTAAACAAATGTTTGTGCGCGTGTTGGCGAGGCTTGGCCAAGGGTTCGCCAACACACGCACAAACATTGGTGACAATTATAAAAATTGGTAATTTTGTCTAATTTGATATTATTTACTAGTTTAAAAGCTTAAAATATAACTTATACTTTATGTACTTATCGAAAGTAAGACATTCCGGCCGCTATACTGATTTTTCGGTTATTATTTTTGCAACTTGCAATTACGCACTGCAGCATCGTGAGACGTGATTACGTTGGCCATGTTTGGAGCATACTAAACAAAATAAGAGCTCACTTCTCAAGTGAGCTCTTATTTGTCGAGACGATTTTCTTGCGCCGACCCGATATCTAGTTGTTATTGTTGATCGAAGGTATTTTCTAATTAGCACATGGGATTGCAATCAATGCATGGCCCTTGTTTTAGATAAAAGTAAAACACAACAAAACCCTTTGTAGTGGTCTATGCCACGGATGAGTAGTTACAGAGTAGAATTATATGTATACTTTAGAAAACATATTTACAATAACAACCTTATTACTTAGTCCAAGATACTTTAGGTATATCAAAGTGTTCAGTGAGACTGTCTAGATGCTGGTTGAATTTCTCCACTCTCTGCTTGTGAGTCATCTCAGCCTTTTGTTGAATCCTTTGCCTTTGCTGTAAAAGATTAAAACTAATTAGTAACTTTTTAAAAAACAATGACAAACCCTAAGACGACCCACTGACTTAAATTGAAAATATCACTGATATTTGAAGAATTACAGAATGTTTTGCTAGAGAAATAATATTAACGAACATAACTGCTCCTAGGTAAAGTATTAACTAGTTGTGGAACTTTGAAATTAAAGCGACAAATCCATAAAAATGCATATTATGTTGCTGGTCCACAATCTTATAGGATGAATATCAACTACTCTCATTCTAATATAGACTGTGGCATATGGCACAGAAGCTCTTCGAATTACTACATTGGCGTTCATGGACAAAAATATTATAACTATCCAACAACAATACGACATACATAGCAAGTAAATTATAAACTAAGTAATCTAATTACAGACCATTTTCTCCTGCATCTTCTGAAATGCCATCTCAGCCTTTGTTTTGGTGTTTACAACAGTATTTGTAGTTTGTTGTTGTTTTATTTGTTGTTTAACTTCGTTTTCAATCAGCTTTTCCTTTTCTTTACTCGACTTCTTCTTCTTTTTCTTTTTGATTCCAGACGTGTCCTTGATTTTCAGTTGTGATCTGTTAACACAAGCATATTCGTCTTCTTCACCCATCCTGTACGGGTTTGTTTAGTTTCAGCTGCTGCAACAACGTACTTCAACGTAGGTAATGCCCGTGGCCGTAATGGTGCAATGCCAATAACAAAATCGAACGTCTGTGAGCTGTCAATTGTCAGTTATTGTCACTGTCTGATTTGGAGTCTGACGTTTTCGGTGTGACCATTTAAGCAATGCTTAAATAGTGATGTAGCCACTGTCGAACTCTGTCGTCAACATAAACAGTTATCGGTTTTTATAGTAATAAATCAGTTATCTATCTAGCTAAACTTATCATTTGGTTTAGATACCGTTCTAAAAATGTATTTTACTATAGTATTTGCGCAAATTTGTAGGCACTATTCGCTTCGCACGCGCCACCCGATCACCCGACGACAAATACCTCTTCGAGAATTACATGGCGTGGTGTTTTGATAAAGTACTATGAGTTCGTACTCGCTTTCGAAGTTTGATTTTTGCAATAGTTCACCAAACATAGTGTATCTTTATAAAACTATTGTATTACCAAGATAGAACCATTTTATTTCGGGACGAAAACAAAACAAATTTCACAATAGTTTGAAATACGTCCTTTTTTATTGTATTGATAATTATCAACATAATATTAATAAAATTGTGATGCGTGATCTTTAGCGCGTCAACACGTCGCCATTTTAGTCCCCAGTGGTCAGTTCATACTTGGAGGACAATCTTTACGAATGACGGCATCTGATAAGAAATAAATTATGTTCATAATAATTATCAAAACGATAAAGATGTATTTCTGTTTATATGTATGATAATTTATTTCTTAACGGATTCGTGAAAATCTTCCTCAAAGTTTGAACTGGCAGAAGCTTGGTGAAATTATGCGCACTTTGTGCTACACCTTTGGGGACTAAAATGGCGTGATGCAATGCAATAATGCTTACATTTGGCTTAATGAAGTAGGAAGATATAAAATAAAATTACAATATTAAACATTAAAATTGTATATTCAAATAACTTACATCTAAAACTATTCTAAACAAGGTTTAGTTGGATTTAAATTACAATCTCTTTGTAATAATATTACTTAAGTGTAAAATTACTAAGTAGCGGCATGGTGTAAATTACAGAGTTGCACCTATGTACTTTACAAGACTTACAATAATAATTATAAACTAATTACTTAGTCCAGGATACTTTGGGTATATCAAAGTGTTCAGTAAGATTGTCTAGACGCTGGTTGAATTTCTCCACTCTCTGCTTGTGAGTCATCTCAGCTTTTTGTTGAATCCTCTGCCTTTGCTGTAAAGATTAAAAAGTAGATTAGTAAACGTTTGAAATCAATGACAAATTAAAAGAAACCGAGACAGTAGGTACAAAATGTTTTGCTAGAGGAATATAATATGGGTAAGAAACATATTGTTCCTAGGTAAAGAATTAACTAGTTAAGAAAATCCTGTAGGGATATTACTTCAAGTAACTTCATTCTAATATAGAGTATCGGGCCGTGTGGCACAGATACTCTTTAAAATAATACACCATGTCTTCATGAACCTACAAAATGATCACATACCACAA